ATATATAGTTAAACTGGCCTCAATCACCAAACGTTATTCGATAAAACAAGAATTATATACTTACGTAGCACAAAAAGTAAGGAAATTTGTGTTTAGTATTCTTTTTTTTTTTGTAAAAATACTTAGAAAGCCTGTTAATTTCTCTTTTAAATGGTGCCACATTTGTAAGGAACATGCATTTGTGGGGTGAGCAGCAGAGCTGAGTATTTGGGTTGTTTAAAGCAAAATAAAGAACAAACTATCAAAATAAAACAGGAAGTAAACACTGCAAAACTGGCTTAAATACTCAAAGAATTAACATCTCAAAATGAAACAGAAACAAAATTTATCTTAACCAGAGACCATGTTGTGCTTTTTAACATATTTTAAAGTGGTTGTTATAGTAGTGCACCGAATAATATTTTGGGTATAGCAATAAAAAAAGCTTTTTTTTTGTAAGGTCGTCCTCCAGTGACATAGTATCTGAGCGTAACATCAGTTTGTACAGCCGTGTTTTGTTACAGGAAGAGATAAAAACCTGACGGAATATCAGGAAAGCTCTTAATCACATTTTATTACAGTTGTCCTTGTCACAACTGGAAGAAAAAAATCCTCGTTCAGTCACACTGTGATCTCTCAAACTGTTTGTACCCGAGYGTGCTCATCTAGATTTTCTATCACCTCATGCGTGACCACGCCGATGAGGCAGACAACAAGGTCACATATGGGAACTCTACCGTGCTCGGTTACTGCTCCTGTGTGGACATTTCTGCTGCGTCAGCCGAATCTGTATGAAATGACGGTGCAACTAGCTTGTCTTTCAGCGTGCCGTTTATTATTTGAGTAGCCTTATTCTGTCCATGACTTCAAGAAAAGCAAGTCCAGCTGGAGCAGATTGGAGAAGTAAAAACCTTGTTGCTAACTATAGCTGTGTCCACATGGACACGTTTTCATGAATATATAAAACACTTATTATTGTTTCAGGCAGTATTTTAGAAATCTCTGAACAATACTTTTCTTTTTTAATGGYTTCCTAGGCTGAGAATATTTAGTCTGACTCACCTCCCAGTCAACACTTTCCTACAATTTARTGGTTTTACAGTTTAATAAGACGCAAAGAAGTTTCACTTTATCATCAGTCCACAAAAATACTTTTGTCCTTGTCCTMATATTTTCCGTTTCCCATCTTTTCCTTTTTGCTGTGTTTACAGATGGGACCATATTGTACAGTAAATATATACAATCTGTTTAGTAAAAGTGTTTTCATGTGAACGRCAACATTTCAAGAAACAGTGCTGGTAAAGGTTGTTTTGGAGGAAAAATAATATTCCATATGGACGCTAAAACTAATAACATGATTTATTAATAAGATGATAACTTAATAACTTAGTTAAAAATGTAAAATCAAACGGATGCAGTGAGAACTTTTCCGGAGGCTTTTGTGAGTTTATAAGAGAAAAGAAGTCAGTTCTTGAAGTGTCTAATAAAGTGAGAATTGATGGTTTTATATTTCCCCACCTGACCGCTCGTATCAGAGTCTTCACTGCTGGAATCACGTCCTCCATGGCTACGTCACAGTACGGTCTGTCTTCCACGCTGTCCTCCCCAAGTCCTTCCACTAACCAAAAAAAAATGTGTTTCAGAGAAGTTTTGCTGATGAATGCAAATCAAACGTGTGTTCTGCTCACCATCTGCAGGTGGACGTGGCTTGAGGCGAAGGGAGGTGCGGAAACGTGTGCGGTCGTTGAAGCTCCAGCTCTTCTGGACCTTTCCGGGACTGGTGGCTTCGGGGACGCTGTCCTGGCTGGGAGACTGGCGCACGCTGGAGCCGGGGGGCAGCGGCGACGCTTTGTTCCGGATGGTTTGGGATGAACGGGAGTTGTTCATCCGGATCCGATCCCTGAAGCCCAGCTTGCTGCTGACAGTAAAGTTAAATTCATTCTACATGTTCAGACGCAGAGATGTCTCTGGATGATGACGGGCACCAGATTGAATTGGTCGCATTGTCTTTGAGTGAAACTACTCTGTAGTACTCTGGGACTTGATGAAACCAGCAGAATAGCAGACTAAACTTGTTAGAAAGGAGTTAGTTAGTGTTGGAAAGGTAACACAGAAAAGGTAATACCAGCCATCATTTAAACAGGAACACAAAACAAGCTTTAAATTTAGCTGCAGTGAAGAAAAAAAACGAGTTTATTTATTATTTAAAAAGAAAAAGCTGAGCAAATGCACTATTMAACACGGCTAAAAACTGATTCTGCCCTGAGGAATTGCCTATTGTGCCTATCTTAGCAACTGATTCAGCAAAATCAGCCTGAAACCTGATTCAAGAGGTGCAGTAGTGCTGGTACGGCAGAAAATCTCCCACCTAACATCACAAACACCACCTTAATCCCTTCAGCAGACTTGAAATACCAGCTTCAGAGAGAAGCCATACAAAACCGTGTTTCATTAAGTAYTTATTCACAAGTTGAGCAGTTATGTGAGATTTACAGAAAAATGGAGCTATCTGGCAGCCTCTCTCCACATGGGATTGACTCTTAAAGCTGCTGGTGTAGCATGCTCTTGTGGACGACTCCCACTCAGCCACTTACAGATTACATACTGTCACGGATCCACAGGCAGCGCAAACTGTCATGCACCGCAGAGCAATTCCAGCCAAGTCGTTCACTCCCACATTTTTTTTTTCTGATGATTTACTCCTTGCCTTGCGTGTGATATAAGCTGGCCATTTAAATWAAAATTTAAATAGTCTGAGAATGTTGGTGGAAAATGCATTTCATGCGTTTGATCTGAACAGCTTCAGGTAGACTGCAGGATCAAGTGAAAGACCTTTGCATGCTGTTGGGAGAAGAAGTAACTGATCTGGATGCATTCAGGTCATAGATTTTACTGAGTCTTTGCAAAACATAGAGAGACACTATTGCATGCAAAAAAAAAATACAACACAGGCAGCTTGATTTGGTACAGAGGTACATGTAGCTGTTTTGGAAAAATGAAAAAGAAAGAAAGCATGCACAAACTTCTGTACCTTTTCTCCTAGAAGAAAACTAAACAAAAAAACTACAAAATAAATAAGAAGTCTGAAAATTTCAGGGTTTTGCTTGGATTATTTTCCTAAAGTCATCAAAACATTTTTGATGTGAGGAAAATACTTGTATTTAAACTATTAGTCAAAAACCAAATGGGACTTAAAATATAATGTCGGCAAATTGTTCAGTTTGAACTTTAAGCCAAAGCAACTAAAATCATCCTAGTTTGTTAAAGCAGCAATTCAAAATGTTTAAAGTTGGGTTCTGAAAAAACATTATGAACAATCAATATGTCACCTGTCATAGATAGATATTTGAACAACCTCAGTTTGAAGAAAATAGACAAACAAAAGTGGAGCCCAAAGCTCTTCAGTGTAAATCCTTGTTTGGTGCCTTTTTGGGTTTTACGTTTCAAAACTAAACAAGAAAAAAAAGAATTTTGTTGGTTTTACGGGTTAAAATTAGACTAGAAAAGCAACAATTGCTAAATGGGAAAAAAATTAAAATGTTTTTCATCTTAATGGTTAAAACAACATCTGGCCTTAAAWATTGTTTATGCATCATTTGTTCTGGTGGGACCAGAAATTCCTGCGCATTACATTTTTACTTAGCAATTTAGAAACAGCCTTATTTAGAAGGAGTCATCGCATCTTGAGAGCTATTTTACAGTGAACAGTGAAATTACTTTAATAGTCCAGGTTATGCAGGATCTGGTTTGAGTGCAGCCAATATCTTTAGGATTAGTTTTAATTTTTAAGTGGTCTTCCAGTCTCTATAAACTCTTCTTCTTTGGCGTCATTTCCAGTATCGTTACATGTTAAAACAGCAACTGTATATTTTATTTTAGATTTAAATAGCTGAAGCAAAAATCAAACATTGTGCATTTTTAATTAGTTTGATTTTTGCATTTAAGTTTATTTTTGCTATTTTATTTTGAAACAGAAAAACCAAAAAAAATGAACCATACACAGATTAGTCTTGTCAGAACTCTTTCTTCAAACTGAGTTTGTTCAAAGAAATATCTTTAACAGGTAAGACACTTATCATTCATGAACATTTTTACACAACATTACTTCAAAAATTCAATTTAGGCAATTAGAAAAAGACATSTGAAAACAACTTGTACTCATTTCAAAAGTTCACAACCATTTGTGCGCCAAAATGCAGTGCCTCTTTCAAACTTTTATTTTGTTGCTACAGTGCTGTTACAAATGAAAGCACAGTTTAGAGGAAACTCGTTTTCTTCAGGTATTTAAACATTCAGGAGCCACTGCACTGGTCCACAAATTTCTGAAGTAGTTCAGGCAAGATGGGCATGATGTGCTGTTAAAGGAGCAGTGCTATCAATCTGCGACGTTTGAGCGTGCCCCGTGCAACAGGATCGTTGCTGTGGATACCTCTGCTTGCGGCCGGCATGAATCCGGAAGAGACCTCGCTTTTTAGAAAGGAGCTGACTGGGGAGACACACAAGGCAGAGGGAAAGAGGTGAGGGAGTGCGAGAGGAGAGGAAGAAGGAAGTGTGGGCTGAACACGACCTGGGCGCGTGGCGAACCCATGAGGATGAAACGCAGTCAAAAACGGAGGGAAAGAAAACAGGGATGGAGGGATGGAGGGTGACGGCAGGGGGGGTGCAAAGCCTGACTTCTCAATACTCCAAACAGCCTCTCTAAAACTTCATTTTACACACAAAAACTATACGAGTCTGAAAGACAACTTCTGGGTAATGGAGACTCTGAAAGGAGGGGTTGGGTTTGATTTGATTTGAAAAAATTAAAATGCCTAAATAGCATTTATTACATAAAGGTGATGTAGTGGTGCAGAGGTGAGAGCTGTCGCCTCACAGGCAGAAGGTCACGGGATCCTCTCCTGACCCGGGGCCTTTCTGCGTGAAGCACGGTCTCCCCGTTTCTTCGGATACTCCCGTTTCCTCCCACAGACCAAAAACATGCATGTTAGGTTAAATAACTCTAAATCGTCACTAGGCGTGAGCGGCCGTGTGTCTTTTCTTGTCTCTATGTGGCCCAGTGGTGGACCTGCGACCTGTCCAGGATGTGCCCCGCCTCTCGCACAGTGACAGCTGGATATGAGCACCAGCTGCACCGTGACCCAGGAAGAAAAAAGGAGGTAAAGAAAAAAAAAAGGGGCTGGATGGTTTTACGTGAGAACATCCATCACAGTGTGACAGCAGATTCTCAAAAATGAAACAAATCTTCCCGAAAACCTGTATTATTCATGTAGATATTGCATCTAATGCATGCAGAAATCTGATATTTATGATCGAAACTCTAACTGAGCCAAGTCTACGAATGGATACCGTTCGGTTTGCAAGCACACCTCATGACATGAAGAACAAACCTGCATGACGCTTCTGCCTTCCTGAGAACACATGGAGGGTGGAGGGTGATGCCGTGAAAAGGACAGAATGAACATAAAAAGGAAGACAGAAAGAGGAGACTGATGAGTGATAAGTAGGAGGCAGGAGAGATGGCTAGAGTATGAGTTCAGCATACAAAGACGCGGAGAAGCAGCAGGGCCTGCAACAGCGAGCTCAAACCGTGTTAGTGAACTGTTAGATCAACACTCCCATGCAGAAAGCTGTGTGGTCAGTCTTCTTTCAATGTGTAACCTGTGTCTGACGATCAGTGTGACAGCCGGCCCACTTTTGGCCATCTGTTTGGGTGAACTGTGAGGCTGGAAGGGGGTGGCGAGGTGCGTACCTGTCCCCCGACAGGTAGGGGGAGCTGTAGGGCCGCAGCCCAGACAGCAGCGTGTGGTAGGAGTTCTGGAGAACCTTCTTGGTGTTACGCTGCCGCTGGAGGTGACTGAACAGTAGCGTCAGTTCTCTGACACCCACGTGCACAAATACACAAAAAGACACATGACAGATAAATAAAATAAAAACAAACAAAACCAATGGAAAAAGCCACAAAAAGGACAAATCAATGGTCCAAATACTCAAAAGAAGAGGGATACATGAGGAAAATTAAATATAGGTCTACAATATAAATGTATATTTTAGGGATGAAGTTAGAAAAAAAATCTTAATGTTTTTAATAAATAATCACAATATACTTTTGCATGAAATGCTATGAAAGTATTGAGACGGGAGATGTTTTAAGACAGCAATTCATTCACTAGTCAGAGTTAAACTCTATTTTTTCTTACCTGAGACTGTGCAGACTGTGAGTTATCTACAGCAGGTAAGATAATATTTGTTCATAAACTTTCTGCAGATGTCCACGTAAAATATTTTTGATTTATCCCTTTAATATCTTTATTGTCTCATTTTTAGCATCATTGTTTAATCCAGTGTGACTCATTTGTAAATAACTTTTTTTATGAAACCAGGTGTTTTCCAACTTCCTGTTTGGTGAGAGCTGATTCTCTCATCTACCTGTTTTACTTTTAAATGGGAACATTTCGAACCCTGATTATACTGCACATGATGTTTGGGAGGTGACTTGACCTTTATCTAAAAAATAATGATTATTTTTAAAAAGGCAGACGCACCACGATGATTCTCATGYTCCCCTCCTTTTAAGCAAATAAAATTAGTCAAATTAATTCATCAACATAACTTTGTATGGAAACTCTGGAGTRTTGGGGTCACTGAGGAAAAAAGATATACAAGAAAGTTGTATTCAATTTTCACTAATGAAAATGTAACGACGATGATAAAGTTAAAATGTCAAAAACAAAGAAAAATTTTCCTTTATTTATGACACTTTGATCTGACAGTACGTTATTGTCATGATTCTGACTTGATACTGACATGAAATAATATTTTCAAGTGGCCCTAATACTCTGTCATAAAACTCACGACTTCCCACCAAAAATTTTTGACTATGGAAATATGACTTCGAAAAGTCCACTTTAAAGAATAAAAACTTGCATGTTTGAGTCGTAAAGAAAATGTTTGTTACAATAATTTATATAAGTTGTTAATGGATCTCAAATTTTAAACACTTTATTCAAACATAGGCACATATAAACGAATCAAATGAGACTTTTTTGTCAACTGATAAAAGGCAGATTTATATGAACACATTCAGRTGCAGAGAAATAATGAAACTCTGTGCTGATGTATCACGTTTGGTCTGTTTTATTGAAACTATTTAACAGTTAACAAGATTATATCACCATTTATAACCGTGCTACATTCAATTTACAAACCTTTTTTAACAGATATCCATTTGTTCTGTTCATTCATAATAACATTATTAATTTAAATAAAAACCTAGGATGTTTCATGATTACATGCAGTGGTTCTTAAAGTTTGATTAGTAATCTGCTGTTTATGTTCTCCTAACCTAATAATCTTGCCTCCAAATGTTTTAAAAACAACTACTGTCCAAATAAAATGGATATTTTTACAGCTGAAATGTCTCATTGTTAATAGCTACACTAAAATTAAAACATATTTACTCTATATCCAAAATTAATAATTTATAAAAATCTGTCAAAATCTCCAGATTTATCCAATTTAAGATTTCCTAAATTAAAAAAGTAAGGTCCTCGTTATGATGCCTTGTTCATTTTCAGCTTTTGCAGCAAAACAGGAAATATTACCTCTACATGTTTTTAGGATTTTCATTCTTTATCACCTAAAAAATATCACTTGTGACTTTTCACCAGGTCATTTGTTTAGTGCCAGTAAAGATTAATCAAGATAAAATGTTGTCAAACTGTCAAAATCAAAAGTATTCAACATCTTCAAATAGCTTTTTAAGACATTAAAATGTTCAAATCTGAGCCACGTTTTCTATAAGTGGCTGTAACATAATTAACGTGTTTTCTAAAGGACTCAAATGTTTATAATCTCTTCAAAATGAAAAAGCAAAATCCAAAATTTGAGGTGGGAAATTTAAAAAAGCAAAACATGAATGAATGGACACAGAAAAACCCAAATGCAAAAAAACAAAATAAATAAATAGTAAAGATTAAAACACTAGAACTAAATTATTGAAAGGAAAACTGAGTAGTGGTGGCAAAACTGTAAAACTTAAACATAAATATTTCATCCAGCAAATCAACACTATTTCTTTCACAGCAACCCTACCTTAGCTGAGTAGGAGTTTTCAGACTGTTTTGTCCCAATGAATGAAATGATTGGATGAACAGAAGGAAAGCAAATTCTCACAAATCAGCTTACAATTGACTGTTTTCTCTCAGTGACATGCTGTGATGTTGCTCTTAAATGTCAGAGGTTTGAACAACAAGGGCCACCACAGATTTTTAAATCTAGTTGAGTTGCTGCAGGTGATGAGGCGTGATGAGGAAACCTACCTGAACGAAGGCAACATGCTGTCGTAGAAATACCACGTAGCTGTTAGATACGAATGTTTGGCATCTGTAGAATAGAGACGCCACGCTGCCTAGAGAAAAACCCACACAGAAGAGGAAAACTACTGCAAATTACCACAGTTTCAGGTTAAGCGATGATGCTGAGCAGCTGGTTTTTTGTTATTTTGTTTTCATTACCTGTATGAGGTTTGCAGCAGGCATCCTCCTCTTCTCAAAGTGCTTCTGTCTGTGCTGCTCTTGGACCTTCAAGGCAAAACCTGAACCTAAAATTCCCTGAAGGTCAAAAATCAGAGTAAAATCGGAGCTGCTTCTTGACGTTTAGCCTAAAAATACCAGGATGTCAAGAAATATAGGAGACTTACAGCAGGTAGGGCAAAAAAAGAGACGCCCAGAAGGGCGAAGCCAGCTGCCAGGAGCCGTCCCTGCCACGTGTGAGGGGTCTTGTCACCATAACCAATTGTGGTCAAAGTTATCTAAGCAGATGAGGAACGAAATATCTCACAAATAAACATCATCAGTCTTACTTAAATGAAAGCTGAGACTAAGCTGGGATATTTTGCAGTACTTACAGTTCCCCACCAGAGGGAATCTGCATAGGTGCCAAAATCTGTGTTAGTGTCTTTCTCAGCCAGGTAGACAAGAAACGAGGCAAAGATGAGGACCAGAAAACCTATGTACCAGGCTGTGATCAGCTCCTGCAAGACAGAGAGAAGGGATTAATGATCTCACCTATGAACAGCAGCAGTAGCAGCATCTTTGCCATCATAAACTCTGATTTTATTATGATCTCTCTATCATTACTGCTGGCTAGGATCTCATCATAATCACATTTAGCTTGCACTTTGACTTTCGTGCACTGATGCATCAATTTATCATCATCACAGATGATAACCTGTGTTTTTCTGGCAGCAGAAGGATGTTAGATGTTAAGTCAGCGTTAAAACTAACAACTAACAGACATATATGAGCAGCTGAAGGTAACATGTTTTAGGGAAGTTAATATTGATTAATTAGCTAATCATTTATTAGACTGAAGACACTTCCTGTCATAGTAAAAGTTAATAAACTACTCATTTAATCATGGACCATTAAGGCTCATCCTTAAAGTCATAGTTCAGAGCTTTCAGAGTGATTTTCTGTTGAAAAGTTATGAACCTGATGTAGAACTGTTTAGGCAAGGGTTGCTGCCATCTTTAAACAACTTCAGCGTAAAAAGTTTCCTATACACTAGTTTATAAATCTTTAAAATGCCACAAAACACAGTGGTTTACATAGAATCATATAGTTATTTATGTGGTTATAATGTTCTGTTAAACAGAACCTGCAGCAAGATGTAACACTTCTGCTGCAACCTTGGTGACTTCAAGCTGGAATATCCACATTCTTCTGTTAGAATAATGATGAAATGTGAAATGAATGGTAGAATAAAGGTTTGTAAACAGAATATGCTTAAACTCCTCAAGACTGTATATTTATTAGAATGTGAATACAGTCAGAATTAAACTTCCAAAACAAGGACATTTATAGAGTTGTTTACAACAGGTAAGATACTATTTGTTTATAATGTTTTCACAGAACTCAACTTCAAATTATCTAAACCAGTGGTTCACAAAGTTGATTTGATTTTGATTTGATTTATTTATTTAACAGGAAAAGATTATTAAAAATCAAGCCTGACTCAGCATAATTGCTGTTTTACAGCAGGTTCCTGTTCTGCAGCACATAAAACACTCAGAAATACATATATACTTATAGGTAGTTTGCAAAGCATCAGTCATGCTTGTGACTAGGCC